TGAGTTAAGGGTCTGTCTTGTATCACCTCTACTTCTGGTGCCCAAACCATGCTCAGCTGTCACGTAGAAGCTCCTAATTTCTGTGTCTGATTTTTGTAGTGTGGTTTAGAGGCAACTTTTTCTCCAAAAGTATTTATTCACTTGCATTAGGTACTAAGCCTTGCTACAGATCTGATTTACTCACAGGGAATCTTTAGATCCTGAGAAATGCAAGGTGTCATTCTTATTGTGTAGTGCTCTTTATTGTGGTTTCTCTGTGAGAACTGTATTTGTTTTGTCTTGGAGGCTTGTTTACAATACAGAATCTTCTATCATGCTGTACTTGTAACACTGCTTTTCAACTTTATTTTTGCAATTACTGTTTAGATTTCCATCCATTATGGAGAGCTGTATGTTTCACATTGCTTGTAGATGTAATCACATCTGAACGGGAATATCAGTATATCTGTGTTTCTTATCATATTTTTTAACGAGGCTTTTACATGATGCATAAAACTTAATTTGAACCTCTGATTTCTTACAAAGGCTTCACCTTCTGTCAACGCATTACAACTAAAGAATATGAAGATCAAAAGCAACAAACCAATCAGTATCTTCTAGCACTGATTCAAGAGATGGACAGTGACCCTACTGTTCCTTTGAAGCAAAAGAAGAAATTAATCAAAGAATTCCGAAAATATCATTCTTTTGTCTACTGTAGTGGCTGTAAAACTACATGTGAATTTTGTACTCCAAATGGTTAGACTTCAATACAGCCTTTTCTTAATCTTTTTCTAAAGGGGTGGAGGAGGCACATGAAAATTGCTCATTAAAAAATGTTCTTCTCTTACATCTTTACATCTTAAGCTTCAGGAAGCTACAACTATCAAAATTACTATGTTACTAAAAAACATTTACTCTAATTAATCTTTTAAGCAAAATATACTTAATTATTTGTAAGTAAGTAATATCAGCACACTGCTTGGGCTTCCTTAAGTTCAAGGTTTGGCACTTTTTTCCATCTGTCCCACAACCCCATGGCTTTCTATCTGAGCCACATCCATATTCTGAGCTGTGCTTGGGTTGATAAACCAGTAGGGTTTTTTACTCTTTTCTGTCTTTAATTAATAATAACTTCATCGCATCTTAAACTGGGGGTTATGACTCCTGTGGGTATTGTAAAAGTGTACAAAGTGTGTAAAAAATGTTGGAAATAGGTCAGTGGGTTTTGAATCTGCAGCAGGAATGATGTATTAGGCAGGGGAGCTGTGTGTGCTTGCAGTCAGTAATTACCTGTTGTTACTGCCTCCCTACTCTGGCAGACTGAGCTGCTGCTAATTCAAGTAAAAAGTTATGTTTTGAAGAAACCTGAGATACAATTACCTTGTTTTAGATCTTAGTATACTTAAGTAATTTATTTTAATATGAGGATATTTTGATAATGTTATTTATCATAAATACTTTGGTAATGTTTATGAATTCATAGGGCAAAGCTAGAAAGTATATTGGCCTGTCTTGACATATTGATGGTTAACTCTAAATCAACAAGGAAGTGTTGATTCAAATCATTAAATCATGGAATCATAGAATGGTTTGGGTTGGAATGAATCTTAAAGATGATCTATTACCACACCCCCTACAATGGGCAGGGACACCTTTTACTAGACCAGGTTGCTCACAGCCCCATCCAACCTGGCCTTGAACACTTCCAGGGATGGGAGGCATCCACAACTCCTGTGAGCAACATGTTCCATTGCCTCACCATCTTCACAGGGAATAATGTTTTTCCTAATATTGAATCTAAACCTGTTCTCTTTCAGTTTGAAGCTATTCCCCCTTGTCTTGTCACTACAGTATGCCCTTGTGAAAAGTCCCTCTCCAGGTCTCTTTGTAGGCTCCCTTAAGGTACAGGAAGGCAACAGTTAGGTCACCCCAAAGCCTTCTCTTTCTTAGGCTGAACAATCCCAATTGTGTCAGCCTCTTTATAATAAATATGTGATAGGGCTTACATTACTTCCTTTATCCTTGCAAGAGATCTTTAGTCATGTATTGGACAAAGCCTCAAAGACTTGGTATTGGAAGGGACCTCTGGTCTAGTCTCACCACTCAGGTTGGAGTTGATTAGTGCAGACTGCCCAAGGACTTTCCCAGTTGAATTTAGAGTAGCTTCAAATACATATATGCCACAGCCTATTGGATGAGTCTGAGACTGGTGAAAGTCTGGACCACAGTATTTAAAAACAGGGAAAAAAACCCTATCTTCACACAAAAAAGAAAAAAACCCTAAAACAATCAAGATAAACTACCTTATGCTTAGGTAGAATTTCTTGCACTGCCTCCTGTCCTTTCACTGGCACTGCTGAAGTGTCTGGCTCAGTCTTCTTCACTCCCTCCCATGAGCATTCTCATCAAAGCACTCTCAGCCTCTTCCCTGTGTGACAGATCCTCTACTTCCTTACCATTTTCTGGACTAGCTCCACTATAAGCATGAATTTTTTTTAGGTTTTTTTTTTTTTTTTCTGTGAATGTGCTGCTTTAGGTATCTCCATCCTCCTGTAGGCTTCAAACATAGTCAAGTCGGCAGGATACCAAAGCTTTCTTAAAACAAGTGCTGATTTGTTTTTAAATTGAAATAGTTGTACTGTAAGATATAAGTAAGAAGCACAACTTCTTACCTGTACGCTTAGTTAACCTGCATATTTGAAGTAGCCTTATTTAAATTACCTGGCCCTATTAAAAAATCAGGGAATTTAGTTGAAATCTCTGTCCATGAATCCCTGTTTATGCACTTGCTATTTAACTGTGACTCACCAGTGTGAAATAAATAATTTCTAGAGGAGGAAAAACATCCAAGTTTCCCCTTTCAGAGGTGAATGCCCTAAATACTATTGTACAGGGCCATATATTCTTTTTCTAGCCCTGTGTGGGGTTTTGGTCATTCTCCCAGAAGAGGGAGCATATACAGAAGCAGTTTATTGAGACTAGTAAACAGGGAAGTATTTCCTAAGTGCTTCTGGTGTTGAGTAGAAGAAAAATATTTGGTTTTTTGTGTTTTTTTTTTCTAATCTCTCTCTCTGTCTGCAGTCCCTTTACTGTGTATTACTCAAAATACTAAACCTAGTAACAGGGAGGGATGATAATGTAGTGATTTGTAGGCTGGGTGGGCTGGGAATTGCTTTGGGAAAAATGATTGTTAAAAAACAAATTTGCACTTTGTGATTTGATTTAGAATTTTCTTGTGCTAATTTATATATAATAAAGAATTGTATAAGAAGTGGTGAGTCTTTATCTTAAAGTGTGTTCATAAGGAAGAAGCAGCTCAGGGCGTGTAGAACCAGTTATTAAAGAGTAAGGAAGTGTTCCAAGCAGCAGTTTATAGCTGCCCTGTGGTTCCTTTCAGTTTATGGGACAGGAAGCTAAGATTGATCTAGTTCTGCAAAGGAAAGGAAGAGCTCTTTAGAGCCCTGTTTTATTCACATACCCTGACAAGAGGATCTACTCACCTTTAATCTTTAAGCCTGTTATTTTACATCTAAGGGGCCACTGAACAGGTTTGGTGAACTAATTGGCTAATGGTTTTCAGTTAAATTCCAAAACTATAAAAATGTTACTGGACTTTAGAAAGTTTGTATTTTTCACATATTTTTAACGGTATTTGACACAGAATCATGTATCAGAATCTTGGGACCTGTCATTAATTTCTGTTTATTATTTCTAGCAAAGAGCTGTCAAATTAATTGCCAGTATGTATTTGTTTGAAGTAGAGAATATTCAGAGTGAAGAGTTTAGTCGAGGTACTTTTCAGTACAGTCTTAACAAAGCACAAGTGATGCCACCTTCAAAGGAGGCTTGCTTCTATTCACAGAACATTAATCTTTGCTCCTACCAAGGAAAAACTTCATTAGCACTTTCATGAGAATGTGTGTTTCTTTAAGTCCCAGCTAAAGTATGCTGATACTTTCATGAAGCAGTTAGTTAAAACAGAGCTTGGACACAAGGGCTTCTCCATTGGCTGTCAAAGTGACTGTACCAGATTTATGTCCTACACAAAGTCATACAATCTGTCCAACAATTTCTAGGTGCTTGTCTTGTGCCTTCATACCCTAGCTGCCTCCTATGTGGCTCATGTAGCTGCTAACAGCAGGAGGAAGGTGCCCCCTTTCATTCCTTTCAGCAGGTTAGACTTGAGGAAAGCAATCACAAGCTGGCAGTCCAAAGTAAAGAAGATGGTATTCAAGAAAGATTATCTCCACTCTCTGAAGCACTGGCTGCTCTCTGATGTTGCCCTTATGCAAGGTAGGCAGATAAGGTTACAAATGCTCTCTGGTTTTATATTAGAGCAGATGAGAGAGGGACTATGAGACACAACAGGATACTCCAATGCCCATTATCCACCCTGTCTGAGTGCCTGTCTTGGCAAGTAAGCAAGCCAGGTGGGGCACCCTATCTAGCCTGGCCCTCCCAGCCTTCTAGCTGGCTCTTAGCCCAGGCTCTTCCCCCTCCTGCACACCATGCTGCACAGACTGATGGCAAAGTAACACGGCTTCTGATGCCAGAAATAACAAGTACTGGGGTAGATGGGTTTATCCAGGATGCATGGAGAGGACACAGATGGGTCATCAGCCAGGACACAGCTGCAAGCTTTGTTCACCTTTGTGGCACCTTCTTTTCAGAAAGATGAGGGGAGTGGCACGAAGCTTATTTGCTCAGGCATTGTTTGAAACAAAAAACAAACGAAAAACCCATATAACCTACTAAATTAAAAACCCTTTAGAAAAAGGAATTGTTCAAATTATTCTTTTGTCAAAGCCTAAGCATACTGTCAATAGCAGTGGTCACATTTCAAGTCAATTTCTCTCACAGCTACTCACTAAAATAACCAAAAAAAACCCCTCATTTATTTCTTTTCAGGAGAGGCAACACCAAAGGCTCCTTTTGAGATGTGTAATGCCCTTTTAGTGGAATATGTGAGTTAGAATAATACTCATTTTGGAAAAAAAAAGAAACCCATTTCTTCTTACTATGTATTAGCATCACACCAGTTTAAGCATTTTATATTTTATTGCCTCATGCACTGAGGTGTTCTGCAATAAAAATACAATGAAGCTATCAGAAAAGATACAAACATAATGAAATCGCAATGAACATATTATTTCACAGTATTACGCTTGTAAAACTCTATTTCTAAACTCTTAAAATTATTTTCTCTCAACCCAATTCAATACAGGAAAGCTAAAACACAATCCTAGCTGATGGAAAAGAGGTTGTAGTTGAAGGAATTCCATTCTAAGTCAATCAATGGAATAACAACATATCCAGCTATGCTACCTATATATCAAATTTCTCTTCACAGATATTGTGTCCATGTTCTTCATAGTCTTCTCTAGTTACTATCATGTCTTCAAAATCATCATTTTCAGAAATGAGCTTCCCACCTTCCCAAGAATAAGTAATAGGGCTGGAAAAAGAACAAAATTCTTGTTATTCCTCTATAGTCATTTAAAATAGAAATATGCAGTGATGATTTCCAAGACTTTTATTTAGCTGCACCTATTTAAACTACATTTTTGATTGCTAAATCAAACCATCCAGCTCCACAGAAATTATGAGACAAAGTTTGAAACTTTAGCAGGGCTAGTTGACTTGGTTTTTAAGACAGGGCCTCTTTGAAGGCATGTGTGGAGAGGGAATGACGTGCCTATGTCTTTGTATTTGCTTTCCAAAGACAATAATTCTTTAATAGTATTTAAAAATACTCTTTAGCAATACTTTTTAAAATGTAGATTTTTTTTTTTTTTGTATATTCAAAATATACTTGTTTTGTCTCCACTCCTGCAAAGATGTTTCCCCTTCCTAATCCCTGAAGTGGTACATTAATAATGACATGGCAGCATTCAGATGCTGAAAATTCTAAGTAAAAGACTAAGTTGTAATCTTACATACTTACATACCCACCTAATGACAATACAGTCTTATTTATCTGTTTACAGCAAAAAAGCTGACCCTAAAAACACTAACTTTATTAACAGAGCAAGCAGGTGATCTCTGGTTTATTTGGCTTGTCTGAAAATAAACTGATTTAAAACATCCTTCTTGCACAATTTCACTTAATATTTAAATTAATTCCTTTACTCAATCTACCTTCTTAATCAGCAAAAGAAACCCTACTTTATTGATTGTTCTGCTAGAAAGATAAAGCCCCTTCTATTTAGTAGTTTAGGACTTACTTTTCAGGAAGAACAACGGAAACATCGTAGTCAGTTGGAGTAAGACATCGAACTTCAGAATAAACCCGATCTCTGAAACCCGGAAAAAGGGTGTTTCCCCCAGTCAGAACTATGTTCTTGAAGAAATGAGGCTGCATTTCTGTAAAATAATTAAGTAAATCTGTAGTTAAGAGACAGAACATATATCTAAAGATTAAAGGTGGTGATTTTTCCAATTTTGTTATGCATTTGAACAGAAAAAATATGCATGTAAAAAATTTATGATTATCTAATCAGCATATCAGTTAAACAGAAATATGAGAAGGTGATCAAGCACCCTGTGGTCTCCCCGATTTCAGAATTTGGCTTTGATAATTACTGTTTTCTTATATTTATAAATTTCACATTTGCCAACAAAATTCCCCTTTCAAAAGAGGTTTTTAAGTGGCACAGGCTTTTTATGAGTATATTAATAGCATAAATGCTGCCATACTTACAGGGCATCATAAAACCTAAGTCTTTTTTGTAATAATAACCATAATTACCTGTACATAATCTATGAAATTAAAGCCTTAGTATTACCATTACTTAGTGTTACTATTACTTAGTATTGCTTCTGACAAAGAGCAGTCAGAAAGGTTTTACCTTCTGTTTTTGATACTTAGATTACTGACTTTTGGTCAGTTTCACACCAAATGAAACCAAGCCATTACAACATACTTCCTTTTCCCACCCCCCTTTCAAATTATTTTAAGGATATACCTTCAGGTAAATTCTGAATAGAATAAACAATGGCTTCAGGAATTCCCATCTCTTGAATACCAATATCTGAAGGATGGAAAAGTATTTCTGGAACTGCAAATCTTTCATTTGTTAGACGAAGTATTTGTTCACCAGTCTTGTATTTTCCACTTAACACCATCTCTTCCCTTGGCTAAATTGAAGACATGAATAGTACCCACTGCTTAAGAAAAGAAATCACATCCTAGAATATTCAGATACTTTATTTCATGTCCTGCAGAGGTAGACAGTGTATGCTGTCATTGTCATATTATCTATCAGCAAATTTTTTAAGAATAATGCATTCTCTGGTATTAAATCTGAAGTGACTTTGCTCTTACCAATTACAGTTTTGTCCAAAGCAAAACAAAACTGGTATACATGAGAGTGGCTTTAAAATATAGGACTGCTTTCAACACTATGGCTGGCTCAGTAAATGAGATAAAACTGTTAAATTGTCTTCACTGTTATTTCAGGCTCTTCTGTAACATGACTTTGAAATTTCAACCTATTTGAGTGCTTAAATGTAATTCAGAAAAACTTACAAAAAAAACCTTCAAAGCAGAGAAAACATTTCCTAACAATGTTAAAAAAATGTTGTACTGATATGCATAAGTTATATGACAGAGCACAAACAGAGAAAGCTACAACTGTTAAATAATAGAACATAAAATGCTACTCTGGAAAAACAGTATTTTGTTTTCATCCCAGCTTACTGAGGAAAAAACTTCACTAATTAACGCATAGCATGGAAAGATGTTACAATACAGCATTAGAAAAAAGGGAGTATTTTTAACCTCTTCACCATACTTGTGCAGGGGAAGAGTCCAAAAAAACTTCAGAACTATCATTACCTTACAAAATCCCTTTTTGATTGTGCTGAAGTCTGGCAAAACATAATCTACCATTACAGTATTTTCCTCTCCTTTCAATCTGAAAAATAATGTAAAATTCAACAGAATAAAGAACAAGTTTTAAATTCCAACTATTTTATACTGACAAGACCTCTTTAACTTAACTGGAAAATTTTCTGATAAAGCTTGTTTGTACAAACAGATTATTCAGAAGTACCAACTATTACCTTTAGTACCACTGCATACATACTTGGCAATGTCCATGTCTTTGTAAAAGTCTTGAGAAACATAACACACATCTTCTTTCACTTGATTAATTACATGTGTTTCATCCATAACATGTAGCTGCCTGTGAGCAACAGAAACCAAAATCACAGAGGTTTGCGAATAATTAAGAGTTCCATTTCCTCTCCAGTGTTCCACTGGAACTGAGAAACCATTGTTCTTCAGTCACAGGAAGCTCAATATCTAAACTTGTATTCCATCTAAAAAAACATTCCTGGCCTACTGGAGCTTATTATTGTCCTGTTTCACAGTTCAGTAAATACATTAACCTGAGGAACCAGTAAGAATAACCCATAAACATCTAGCTCATTTCATACCAAGTTTCAGAGTGAAAATTACCATGCTTTACCTGTAAGAGATTATCTCCTTTAGATGGTTGGTTAAGAGTTTCCCTCCAACATTAATCCTACAGAAGAAGAGTAACATGTGGAATTCTGTCATTATTAACTTCAGGCACAGCAAACAGTTCTAGAAAATATATACTGCAGTATACCTGATGATTGCCTCTTTCTTCTTTTTACTTCTGCAGTAAGGTACAATGTGAGTAAAAGAGTATCCACTATCCACGATGATACAGCACAGCTCAGATGGATTATCCCGGAAATACCTGTGTGCACTAAGGGCTCCGGCTGAAATACAAAAAATTTAGTTCCATTTTTATATGAACATCTAGAATTTACAGTGATAGGAAGGTGTACTTGCTTTATATTTTAAATTCCTTTGACAGACTTTCAAGACCTCAATACATATTAATACAGCCAATGCATTAATTAATTTTGGCAGTGGATAAAATTGTTTATATGGCCCTATTTAATATTTTTCAGGAATTCCAGTCCATGCTCCATTTCCTCTAAAGTCTAATCACACTGATCAAGCTACAAATTTATCAAACTTATCTGAAGGAATGTTCTATGTCCAGTTATCTTTCAGAAGGGTGGTATTTTTGTTTACACATTCCCTATCAGGCACAATACATTTCATAATTGTAATGCTGTATTTTATTTGCTAACACATAACAAAACCAACCAAAAAACTGATCCTCTCCCCCTTAAAAAGGAAACCTATCAAAGGCTTCATGCAAATTTTTGGTAGGATTCTTTAAATGCTATCCTGTTTCAAATTCCATCTGTTATTTCTGTCATCCTTACTCTCCTCAAATTTCCTGTAATTATATACCATATACAAAGACACTCTTTAGAAAGTAGTACAAGAGTACAGCTGGAATTTGTAGAAGAAATAATTTTAAAAATGTTTAATCCACTTTTACTCAAGAGCCAGGAAGCAACCGAAATAATTTTTTTACTATGTATATACATATGTGTGTGCATGTGTGCTTGCTTATTCATTTATTTAAAGGGTTAAGCTTCAATATACATAAATGCAAACTAGGAGACATACTCACCATTTACTCTAAGAACTGCTTGAAACTGATACTCTTCAAATAGAATTTCATTCATAGATTCTTGTATTGAACTGAAGTTAAAATAAGGTTCGGTAATAATAATATTGGTATCTACAAAATCCACCTATGAAAAACACATTAATATTGCCATTGCATAAAACATATAAATAAATAATCCCTTACCATCTTTTGCAGCAGTGAAAGATCATGTAAATCTGAAGACATGATTACCACTTGCCATATCTGTTTGTAGAAGCTAGACTTAGAATGCTTTAGGTTTGTTAAAGACTTCATGAGCAGTGATACAAATTTCTAATTAATGGGTAAAAACATAATAGAAGGGACACTTTCATACATATCCTGATTCTGTTCCCATCCTTACAAACTGTATTCCAACATTTTAAAGAGTAATCACAAAGGAATGTGTGAAATGAAAAATAAAGTTAACAGATATTTATATTTTATACATTTAAGTTATTCATGGGTCGAAAATGGCTAGCCAAAGATGATCACTAAATATGTATATGTATTTTGGCCTACTGACCCAGCTCATCCCTCCCTTTTACATTAACTATTTCTTGATCTCTTAACTACATTGTACCTGTCTGTCAGCATTTTTTATTAACTTAAACTCTTAGTTATATTGATATGATTTTCTTATGTGGGCTGCACTCCATATCAGTGAATACCTACAAGACTAAAATATTTTACTATTTTGCAAAGTTCTACACCAGAACTCAAAAGCATTTGCAAAAACTTAAATCCCTGTGATTTCTAATTGAAGGCATTTTTGAAGAGAACACTAAGAGAGCACCCATTCTTCTCAATATTTGTTAATTCCACTAGTCAGTATTTAATCTGCAAAAAATATGTAATTAAGAAAAGGCTCTTACTTGATACATTTCTTTTCCAAAGAGATAATCCCAAACCTGTCTCTGAACATCCCAGTTCACCAAGTAACCCTGTAGGAATTAAGAAACAAATTTACACTATTTAGAAAAAAAAAAATCGTACTTTAAGAAAAAAAAGTCAAACAATTGAGACTGGTAATACAAAAAAATTGACAGTTAAAATGTCTAAATTTACATTTTTAGGCTAAGGAGTGAATGTTACACATGATTAAGGGATGTTACAAATATTCCCCATTGATATGTTAATTACTGCACTACAAAAACAACGCACGTTGTGTACTGTATTTCTGTATACATTATTCCTTTTGGCAGAAGCTTGTCAGTATTCCTCAGTGCCAGGGAAGGTTATGGAGCAGATTACCTGGTGTGCCACCAGCCAGCATGTACGGGACATACACATGATCAGGTCCAGTCAGCACGAGTTTAATAAAGCGTGACTGACTCGTTCTCCTTCTATGACAAGGTGACCCACTGAGTGGAGGAGGGAATGGATGTCAATGTTGTCTACCAGGAATTTACCAAAGTCACCATTTGCCACAGCGTTCTCCTGGAGAAGCTGGCTGCTCATGCCTTGAATGGATGAACTCTTTGCTGGGTAAAAGATTGGCTGGATGTCCAGGCCAGAGAGTGGTGCTACATCCAGTTGGTATCCCATCACCAGAAGTGTTCCCCAGGGCTCAGTATCGGGGTCCCTGTTATCAACAATCTGAACGAGGGCATCGGGTGTACCCTCAGTAAGATCACAGAAAGCACAAAGTTGGATAGGACTGTTGATCTGCTGGAGGGTAGAAAAGCTCTGTAAAGATTTCTGGACAGGCTGGATTGGTGGACTGAGGACAATCTTATGATGTTCAGCAAGGCCAAGTGCCAGGTCCTGCCCTTGGGTCACAACAACCCAACCCACTACGGGCTTGGGACAGACTGGCTGGGATATTGCCCAGTGGAAAAGGACGTGGGGGTGCTGGTTGGCAGCCACTGAGCATGAGCCAGGGTGTCCCCAGGTGGCCAAGAAGACCCAGAGTATCCTGGCCTGTATCAGCAATGGCCAGCAGGACCAGGGCAGGGATTGTCCTCCCACACCCAGCACTGATGAAGCCATCCCTCAAATCCTACTTTTACTTTTGTCTCTCTCCTAACAAGAAATACATTGAGGGACTAAAGCAAGCCCAGAGAAGGGCAACAAAGCTGATGAATGGTTCAAGCAACAAATCTTATGAGGACCAGCTGAGGGAGGCTGTCTAGCCTGGAGAAATGGGAGTCTCAAGGGGGACGTTACTGCCCTCTGCAGTGACCTGAAAGGCAGTTGTAGTGAGGTGGCGGTTGGTGTCTTCTCCCAGGTAACAAGTGACAGGACCTGAGGGAATGGCCTTAAGTTGCACCAGAGAATTTTAGACTGGAAACATTTTCTCACTAACAAGGCTGGCAACCACTGGCACAGGCTGCCCAGGGAACTGGCTTGAGTCACCATCCCTGGAGGTATTAAAAGATGTGCAGATGGGGCACTTAGGGACATGGATAAGTGATAGGCTGGACAGTGCAGGGTTAACTGTTGGACTTGATCTTAAAGGTGTTTTTCAAACTAAACAAATCTGTGACTGTTAAACTTCACACTGCTGACTGATTCTTGTATGATACTACATATAACTCTGCAGCTGAGATATACAGTATGAAAACTATTCCTTAGAACAATTTAAATTTGTATTTAATGTTAAACTGAAGATATCTTACTTACTTTCTGAAAGGGAAGAATATAAAAAAGACCAGAAGGATCCTTAATTTCATCCAGTTGATTTGCCGTAAAGGTTTTTAAGCGTGCAGTCTTTGACCTGAACTGACAGTTGGGAATAACGCTGGAAAAGATTGGGGAATTTCCTATTAAACATGGTATGAGACACACTCACTTTCTTTATGCCGCTTTCATAAACAGTGTACTTTCACTACTATTTTTGCTACTGTATTTTGGCTTTAGTCCATTAACTGGAGCCAGTTACGAGGGAAATCTTTAATTTCTGACAACTCCAGCGCAGAAGAGACACCTTTTGGAAAACCAAATAGCACCCCCCACCCTCCACCGGACAGTGCTCTGAGCTGCAACCTCCACACCCTGCCACAGGGGTTCTCCCCCAACCCTGGCCGGTGGGCACGGTGTGACACAGTGTGACACGGCAGGACACGTGTGACACGGAGGGGCACGGTGGGACACGGTGTGACACGGAGGGACATGGTGTGGCACGGTGTGACACGGTGTGACACGGTGAAATACGGTATGACATGGAGGGACACGGTGTGACACGGTGTGACACGGAGGGACATGGTGTGACACGGTGTGACACGGTGTGACACGGAGGGACACGGTGTGACACGGAGGGACACGGTGTGACACGAAGGGACATGGTGTGACACGGTGTGATACGGAGGGACACGGTGTGACACGGTGTGATACGGAGGGACATGGTGTGACACGGTGGGACACGGTGTGACACGGTGTGACACGAAGGGACACGGTGTGACACGGGGCGATACGGAGGGACACGGTGTGATACGGAGGGACACGGTGTGACACGGTGTGACACGAAGGGACATGGTGTGACACGGTGTGATACGGAGGGACACGGTGTGACACGAAGGGACATGGTGTGACACGGTGTGATACGGAGGGACACGGTGTGA